TTATTAGGTCTGGATGAGCAGATCTGAAGCCCTTGCAGATCCAGGCAATATTTGCAGCAGTTTTTTTCAATCTTGAAGATGTGTGAACTTCAACTCCCAGAATTTCCCAGCCAGCATCTTCAAGTTCCCAAGGTTGAGAAACGCTGGATTAGATACAGGTATGCATTCAATATCATGAATTAATCTTGTCCTTTCTTTCCTTCTTCTGAATGCAACTTTTCTTGGAATGCAACTCCTCCAAGAAAAGTTTGGCTAAAGCAAAAGATCTGAAAACAGAACAAACCGAACACTTTCTCCCTCGTCTCTTCATCTTTGGAAACACAGAAGCCACCCAGTCAACTGAGCAATATGCTTTGCTAAGCTTTTAAAATCCATGCTTCTCGTGCAACGGAAGGAAAACATCAATCATCAAGGCTCCCTGAGGATTGTAAAAAGGTTGAGACAAAAGTGCCCGAAGCAACAACTTCCTCAGACGGATTTATAAAAAGCAGACCAACAACAACTCCTTTAGTGCCCCTTATTATTTCACAGGAATCGAAAAGCACCATTTGCAAACATGTAGGCCTCAAAAATGGCATTTTTCAAGCGCGCTGTTGGACAAACTTGTTTCCGACCAGATGGGATAAGGATATATAAATAGATCGAGATGGAGTTTCGGGCTGTCCCTTTTTCAAAGGGGAGTGTGAGGTTTTTTGGTTTTTTTTTAAAGGTTGCAACGTTGATACGGAAATATGTTAAAAAGCACCTGAATGAGAGCTTTCCTTGTTGCCATTAGCTGCTGGGCTGGGATACTTTTCCAGAGGGAGGCGATGCGAATCGTCCATCTTAAGGACCAGAGGTTTCCCGTTCTCCATCACTCAGGCCAAACTCGGTTTGTTCTTTCTCCCAGAGAATGACATTCCTGTCAAAATAAAGACAAGAGCCTCAAAAGAAACTTTTCTCATTGTAAAATCTTTTTTTTTTTTTGGTTCTTTCCTTCGTGTATCCAAAACGTGGGGACTTTTGGATCGGACACCCTAACCCAGAGATGTCAAACTCAAGATCCATGGTGGGATTCAATTTTTTTTTACTACCGGTTCTGTGGGCGTGGCTTGGTGGGCGTAGCGTGGCTTGGTGGGCGTGGCAGGGGAAGGGTACTGCAAAATCTCCATTCCCTCTCCATTCCACTAACCTGCTTTCCAGCTCTGTTCTCCTGTGCAGCGCAACAAAAGAAGACGCAGCTGACCAGCTGGGACTCAGGAGGCAGAGAATAGATGGGGGTGGAGCCAGTCAGAGGCGGGATTTGCCGGTTCTCCAAACTACTCAAAATTTCCGCTACTGGTTCTCCAGAACTGCTCAGAACCAGCTGAATACCACCTTTGCCGGGCTGCCGCGGTGTGGTCCCTCTGCCAGTGAAAATGAAACACCTGTGGCCCCCTCCAGCTTCATTTTCACTGGCAGAGGGCTGCAGGAAGGCATTGAAGCCGAAAACGGAGCTCGGCTGCCCGTTTTCGCTGCAGAGCCCTTGGGCCGCCACAGGCACCTCGATATGAGTGACGTCAAGTGGCCACACCCACCTCGGCCTCTAGAGGTCAAACACAACCCCGATGCAGCCCTCCATGAAATCAAGTTTGACCCTTGCCCTGCCCTAACCTAAAGCAATGTTTTTCAACTTTGGCAACTTGAAGAGTTTTAAGCCACTCCTTCAAAGTGCTCCATAAAGATAGTCCTTGACTTACCACCATGCGTTAAGCCACGGTTCAAAGTTTGATTTGATTTGATTTATTTGATTTGTCAATCGCTTACAAGATAATAGGTATAAGTATATACATAGTTATGAGTATGAAAAGGGTACATGTAAGAAAAATAAAAGAAACAATAGGACAGGGACGGTTGGTGCACTTATGCACGCCCCCTACAGACCTCTTAGGAAAGGGGTGAGGTCAATAGTAGACAGTCTAAGGTTGAAGTTTTGGGGTTTGGGGAAGAAACCACACAGTCAGGTAGAATATTCCAGACATTGACCACTCTGTTGCTGAAGTTGTATTTTCTGCAACCAAGTTTGGTGCGGTTAACCTTGAGTTTGTATCTATTGTGTGCTCTTGTGTTGTTATGGTTGAAGCTGAAGTATTCATTGACAGGTAAGTCATTGCAATGTATGATTTTATATACCATACTTAGATCAGACCGAAGACGGCGTAATTCAAGGTTTTCTAGGTCTAGAATTTCAAGTCTGGTGGCATAAGGTATTCTGCAACGAGTAGAGGAGTGGAGAACTCTTCTTGTGAAATATTTCTGGACTTTCTCAACTGTGCTAATATCAGATATGTAATGTGGGTTACAACACCCGCGACCAGTTCTCGCATTTATGACTGTCACTGCGTCCCACCCTGGGAGCGGAGAGCTGGGTTTGCTTAACAACTATGTGAATCAACTGCAGCGATTAAAAAAAAAAAAACAGATCGTAAAATGCTGGTCCCAATTGTGTGTTATCCCTCATTAGCGTTCTGCATGCTTTGCACCAAAGGTCCAAACTCGGCAACTTTTAAGCCTTGTGGACAGAGGTGGCATTCAGCAGATTTGGACCAGTTCTGGAGAACCCGTAGTGGAAATTTTGAGTAGTTCGGAGAACCAGCAAATCCCACCTCTGACTGGCTCCACCCCCATCTATTCTCCGCCTTCCGAGTCCCAGCTGATTGGCTGGGTCATCTTTGGTTGCCCTGCCCAGGAGAACGGAGCTGGAAAGCAGGTTAGTGGGGTGGGGGAGGGAATGGAGATTTTGCAGTAACCTTCCCCTGCCACGCCTACCAAGCCACGCCCACAGAACCGGTAGTAAAAAAAATTTGAATCCCACCACTGCTTGTGGACTTCAACTCCCAGGATTCCTCAGCCAGCCATATTAGCTGGGGAATTCTGGGAATATGAAGTCCACAAGTCTTAAATGTGGACCTTTGGGGTTTTGTTTTGTTTTCCCTTGAAAAACCAAGAAAGTCCATTTGTCTTTTGAAAAGCACTTTTGGGACCACAATGTCCTGGATGATTGGGAATTTCTGGCTGCTTTGACTTGGAAAACTTGTGACCCGGTTTTAAGAATCGATTTTGCAATTTAATGAGTAGATTCTTTAAAAAGGGCTTGGAAGGAAATCAAGCCAAGTCTAAAGTGCTGTGCTGGCATTGGTTCTTTGGAATCGTTTCCCAAGCGTGCACATAGCTGTGATACGCAAACGTGTGTGTGTGCACGCACACGTGTGCACAAACAGAGCAATAGTGTCACAGAGTTCATCAATAGATGGGACGGCGGGAGAGAAAGAATGTACGGCTTCTCTATTAACAGACCTAAAACTTCTATTCAAACAGTCTATAAGTAATCCTCAACTTACAACGGTCTGGTTAGTGACTGTTCAAAGTTACAACGGCAACTGAAAAGTGTGACTTACAACCGTTTTTCACAGTTATGACCTCCATGGCATTCCCATGTGATCCAAATTTAGACACTCGGCCACCGATTCATATCTGCAACTGTTGCTATGTCCCAATGCCACACGTTTACGACCTTCTGATAAGCAAAGTCAGTGGGGAAGCCGGATTCACTTAACGACCAGGTGACTGACTTCACTGAACAGGTGCGGCAAGGAAGGTGGTAAAATTGGGCAAACCTCACTTAACATATGTCTCACTTTAACAGCAGAAAAATTGGGCTCAATTGTGGTCGTAAATCGAGGACAACCTTTTTTTAGCAAGCCGGATTAGATAGCAGCTAGACTTGTGGACTTCAACTCCCAGAATTCCTAAGCCAGCCTGATCTTGGGATGGGCAACTATGGCTGCCTCAGGAATTCTGGGAGTTGAAGTCCACAGGTCTTGTGGTAAAGTTGCCATAATTACTTATCCCGGATTAATAGCATAAAACCTTTGGCCTTGCAGACAACAATGTCTAGAAATCTTGGAATAAAGTTAAATTTGAAAAGCAGGGTGGGTAAGATAAGCAGGTTTACAGGCAATCCTTGACTTACGACCGCAATTGAAGCCAACATTTCTGTTGCTAAGTGAGACAGTTGTTAATTTTGCCCCATTTTACAAACTTTCTTCTCATAACTGAATCACTGCAGTTGATCATTTATTAACGTGGTTGTTAATAAATAAAGGGACACTGCGACCATCATAACTATGAGTCAAGTTGCCGAAGGACTGAATTTTGATCTCGTGACCATGACGATGCTCCTATGGTCGTAAGTATGAAAAAAGCCCATGTCACTTTTTTCAATGCCACTGTAACTTCAAACAGCCACTAAATGAATTGTTGTAAGTCAAGGACCACCTGCAGTTTGGACAATACTGCATATGTTGGTATCTGCTTCACCTAACCTGCTATTATGCTACAATATCCTGATTTCAATCCCAATAAAATAGGAAAACAGGAGAAGGAAGGAATATTGGGTATATTTTGCTGCCTTGAGTTATAAAAATAATAAAGGCGGGATTAAAAAAAATCTATAATCAATAAATGCAACATATGCTCAAAATATCTGGAACTAGAAACCGCTGAACCCCATCCTGACCTCCTCAAGGTTGACTCAGCCTTCCATCCTTCCAAGGTCGTTAAATGAGGACCCAGATTGTTGGGGGCAAGAGGCTGACTCTGTAAACCGCTTAGAGAAAGCTGGAAAGCGGTATATAAGTTTTATTGCTAGGAGTGAAAGCCAGCTGGATCTATCTATCTATCTATCTATCTATCTATCTATCTATCTATCTATC